CTCTCTCTCTCTCTCTCTCTCTCTCTTTATCCCTCTCTTTCTTGCGGATTTTTGTTCGAGCCTTTCCAACTTCCTTTCGAACAGTCCAAGTCGGTTTAATTAGCCCGTAAGCTCACTCGCCGCCGTCGCCGCTCACCGACCATTCAAACCGCCTCGGCGAGAAAAATGATTGTGGTTTATAATTAACTTTTGACGCTTCGATGCCTAGACGTCCTCTTTTAATTGCCTCTCGATGGGAACGATCGCAGCAAAATCGCTCGTAATGTGCGTCGCTCACTCACTTACGCAAACACGCGCGCACGCACGTACGTACGCAAGCACACACGGACGGACGCACGGACGGATGCACGGACGGACGGATGCACGGACGGACGGATGCACGGACGGACGGATGCACGGACGGACAGATGCACGGACGGGCGGAAGCACGCACGCATACGCACTCAGGCATACACACGCACGGACGCACGGACGCACGCACGGACGGACGGTGCACACGCACACGCACACGCACACGCACACGCGCACGCACACGCACACGCACACGCACACGCACACGCACACGCACACGCACACGCACACGCGCACTCGCGGTGACACCTGAGTCTATATCTCGCATCGGTCGCATCCTGCGGCGGTAACCGCTAACGGCACATCCGCACGCGCACGCGCACGCCATGCAGCAACCCGAAGCCCGCCTAATTGTATATATCGCGTGGCGCAAATGTCTGCTTTCATCCATCTCCTCTCCCCCTCCCCTTCCCCCTCTCTCTCTCTCTCGCTGTCGGCCTCTCTCTCGCTCTATCTCGCTCTCGCGCGCGGTCTCTCTCTATCTCGCTAGCATTACCGCGCTTCATCTCTCTCCCCCTTTCCATCCCTTCCTCCCGCCCTACCTCCCCCTCTCTCTCACTCGCTTTCAAGCGCTGTCGCTCTCTACCTCTCTCCACTACCTCTCTGTTCTTCCTACCCCGCATTTTATTTACTCAAACAACGAAAGGGCAGCCTCTCCAGTTCTCGCACTCGTGGTCTTACGATGCGCTTAAGCATCGGCATCGAACGCTCTGACCGACTGTGCAGGTTAACACTCACATGCCGGCGTCTGCGCACACATCCCACGGGGGCTCTGTAACCGGCACGTCGCTTAGCTACCGTGCTAGGAGACGGCAGGTGAGGAGGAAGGTGATGATGAGGAGTAGCAGGGTGAGGAGGGGGGGGGGAGTAGGAGTATCAAGAAGAAGGCGAGGACGGGAATTGCTCTAATCATGTCAACAACGCCATATACTGGCACAATGTCGACCACGTTACTGACGTGAAACCTTGCAGCGCCGGAATGATGCGGGACCATGACAATATAATGCAGCGTTGTTTCGATCCCCCAGCCCAGCAGTGAAACCTGCCGCTGCATAGATATTACCCACAGACAGACATCTCAGCTCGTTAACGCAGAGAAGACTGCAGCATTCTCGCCATAACTGCATTGAGTGCGAAGCCTTTGTATAGAAGTGATCTAATCACGATTACGATAATCCCATTGTAAGACACTCATCAGCACACAATTCTCTGTCAGCGCTGTTTAACCCTATAATGCCCACACCTATGTGTAAGTGACGTCCCTTGGAATTTCCATGCTATGCGAGCAGTCCTCACACTATATATATAGATGGCTCGCTCACTCATTCACGCACGCACCACGATGTGTATTCGCAGTACTTCTTGAATAGTTCGTACAGCATATAAAAGCATGGGACTTGCGTTCTCATTCTAAGATCCATCGCAGAAAGGTTTCTGCGGGTTTTTACTTTACTAATTCATTCGTAGCTGTCAGTAAGTGCAGACCGGCATTTAGACGGCCACGGTATTACGCGACTTCCTTACTGAAACACTAGACAACCCAGCAACTTGTCGCTCGCTAACGCTTAATGCAATCGCGACCCACGCACCCCTCCCGGATATATAGAGCCATGCCCAGAGCAACGGCATCAATTCACTTCACTCACTACGTCTCATAACTTGTATATCTATCTGTCTGTCTATCCGTCCATCCGTCCGTCCTTCTATCCATCCATGCATGCATACATCCATCCATGCTCCATCCGTCGCGGTACGTCCACACAACCATCCAACCACAGCCACCCATACCAATGCCATCCATCCAACCAATCTCATCCAAGCCTATCCATCCACCATATCCATCCATCCATCCATCCATCCATTCCATCCATCCAATGCCATCGCATCCATGCGCCATCCAATCCATCCATCCATCCATTTCCACCATCCACGCATATCCACTCACCCCACCCATCATCCAACGCCATCCAATCCCCTACCCACCGCACCCACCACTCCCATCCATCCATCCATCATCCATCCATCCCAAATCCACCATCCATCCCAATCCATCCATCCATCCATCACCATCCCATCCATCCATCCATTCCATCCATCCATCCATCCATCCATCCATCAATCCATCGCATCCATCCATCCATAAAAAAATAAACAAATAATATTGCATATCCTCGCTGTCTATGCCACGCAGACGCTGCTACACATGTACTAGCATGGTAATGGCGGCCCGAGCGTGTGTTGCTCCGGCGTGCTGATGCTCAGGTGGAGAGAGCGCTCGCGTAAAGAGTGCATGTTTTTTGTGAGGCTGTTTAAAAATGATAATATTTTGGGCAGCGCAGCTTTGAAAACATCGTCCGCTGTGTTGGGCTGCATGCGAGAACCAGCGCTTAAAGGCTAATAAACGTCTACACAGCTCGTTTAAGCAGACGGTCTATAACGTCCCTATAAAGTAAGCGTACATTTATTGTGTGCGAGTGGGTTGAGCGTGTGGCGTGCGAAGGCGTGTGCGTGCGTTCGTGGGCGAGCGTGCGCACGTGTGCGTTTGCGTGCGTGCGAGTGTGGCGCGCGTGGCGTGCATTTGTGTGCGTGCATGTGTTGCATCGTAACGCGTGTGTATGTTTGCGGCGCGTCGATATCACGCGTCGTTTTCCGCTCAACTTAATCTGGTTTCACGAAACTCGAATGTTATTTTATGGAGACTAAACCATTCAGGACCACCGGTAAAAGACGTATAAGGCGAATAGTTTCCGGTCTTTTGTTTTATATAGATGTGTATCCACGGTGGGCTATGGTCTGATCATTCCCCACATTGTCACGAGGACGCCAATACATAGATTCAACCATTATAACGTAACAAATAACTAGCATCAATTTACATGACGCCTATCGAGTCAGCTAGCTGACAGCGAGGTGTAGTGCAAGCTTCCCTCAAGATACA